TTAATTTTAATTAGCAAGAAATTTGGTTTGGAGGATCAACACAGCCGGACACCGCCGGAATTAGAAAAACGACGCACAGGGGAAAGAGCCTGCTCTATTTCAAGTAGAGCAGGCTCAATTAAAAAGTGGAGCAGGCTCTACTTGGAGATGAAGGCGGCTCCACTTTGGGTGGAGCCGGCTCCTTTGTGGGTTTTCATTTTTTTGGTTTTCTGCGAGACTGCTAGCTACTGTGCTTGGGTTAATGGGTTTCCAGGGGCAACTGAGAGTTTAATTAGAGGTTCTCAGTGATGTTTAAATTCTACTAAAACTTCAGAAGGCATGAAAATACATATTATACCATAGAAGGTTAGTAGAAGGGACGTTATGAAACTGTTAAGAAAGTTTACATGGTTGCCTTGTGCGGATGATTCAACTTGTTTAATTTTAATTTAGCAATTGAATTAGGAGTTTGATATGTAAATCATATATCAGTGGTATGGGATTAAGCCTATTAACTAATATAAATTCAATTAATACTTAATATGAAACCAGTTGATGTTACCAAGAATTTATTTATGTCAACTTGTGGGATGTTGTGGAATAATTACAAGTAAGCATGTATATACTATTGTTATTATTATGATGCTTATTGTGAGTTACAGGATGGTTATATTTCTTCTCTGCATTTAAAAATTTGTCAGAGAATCAGGTACTAGATGTATGGAACAAGCATGCTAATTAAACATTCTTGTTATGCTATGATTGGATATGTTGATATTGATATGTTATGCTATCATATATATATTATCAATACTGGATGGATGGTTTGTATGCACCGGTATGGGACAGTGTCATACTAGGGGGATTAGCTCAAAAATGCTAAATCCTACCTACTCTGGATTAAGGGATAGATTAACTACAAAAGTTAAGTCCTACCTGTCTTCTGTGTCAGATCAATAAATAATTGAGTGACACTTTGGTTTGGAATGGAATTTAAATATATTTTTATGATGCCACGATATGAGCCTGAGTCTCAGAGTCGTTGGTTAGGGAGCGTATATGCATTGGGATGCATAGCTGGCTATGATGGTTGGATGTGTACCCTGCTAGGACTAGGTAGTCATGCCCACCTTTGGGTGCGTTTTCGCATGGTGCCTACTAGTCAGGTTGAGACAGGCCTGTAGTCCAGTGAGAGTCCTGTAGTGTGATTATATATATATATTTATCTACGGACTATTAGCTATTGTTGGATTGGTTAGGATATACATGCGTATCGGGTCTCTGCTTGGGTAATTGTAGTATAGAACTTGCATGTGGGCCTGACCCACTCATCATTTTTCAGGTATCGGACATTTCCAGTCTAGAGCTTGTTCGTGCTGAGCAGAGACGATCTTCCATTCTACCGACGATGTAGGACTTCTTTCCAAATATTAGATTTGGATTTTATTTTCAGTTTTTACTTTCATTTAGTTTGGGATTTTTTATTAGGGGTCCACTAGAGATGGATTCCCGAGTTGTTAAACTGATGGAGTTTTGGATTTTACTTTTAGTTTCTTCCAGCTTAAACTTTATTTATTAAATTCATTTTGTCATCTGTGTTCGCTTTAAAATACTTTAATTGTTTGATATTCCCTCGGGTTTGGGCCTGGGCCTGATCAACCCGTGTCTCGGATCCGAGGGGTATCACACTTCGTGTGGCATCAGCTACCAAAACATTGGTTGTATCAAAATATTCATTTTTGGCATTTCATCCACTTGGGGGCATTTTCGTCTTTTTACATGCCTTATTGTTCTTGGGTTTGATCCTACGGGACCTAAGGATCAAATTTGAAAGGGGGGAACTTTTTTTCAAGCTTCAGGTGATCGTTCACAGGCGAATACAATCGATTGCACCTGAGGTACGATCGATCGCACCTGGGCATCAACATTTTGTGCCCAATTCTGACCCATCGTTCGTACACTCTTACGATTGATCGCAACTGAGGTGTGATCGATCGCACCTGCACCTAGGTGCCTTCTTGGCAGCTTTTTAACCAAACGTTGAAACTTCATATCTTACTCATTTAAACTCCAAATTAGGTGATTCTTGAGCCTAAGTTTATTGATTTTTCATTGGCTATGCAATGGTATGCACTATCACATCTAGTTTTGTGAGAAATGACCAATTTACCCCTAATTCCATTTTTTGTCTGTTATAACCTTAGCTTCTGCATTCGTCTTCTATTAGAGGTAATGTCCATCTCTAGAGACTTCTTCTCTTTTCTTGCTTTCGCGTTTCGGACTCGTTATTGGGTCAATTTTTGGGTTACTCACTGACACTCCGTGTTATGGAAATTCGGGTCGTCACAGTTACCCATCGCACTATTTTTATTTTATTTTATTTTATTTTATTTTTATGGGCAAATAGCATAAAACTCTTTTTTTTTTTTTTTTTTTTTTTTTTTTGGCAAAAAACCTCGCTTAAGGAAAAAGTTGACATGAAACCCCTAACTATCTAATTTGCTACAAAGTGATATTATAATGACAAAAATACCCCTTAAAATAAATTTAAGAGATATTTTTATTTAATTTTTTTTTTATCACTTAAATTTTTTTAAAATAGAACATTTATGAAAATTTTGAAATTACACACAACTAAAGTGATGTTATAATGATAAAAATGCCCCTTAATATAAATTTTAAAAAAAATTAGGTCTTCCTTAAAATAATTTTCATTTTAAGTTTTACTTTCCTTTTAATTTATTAAAAAAAAAATAATAAAAATCTTAAGAAAAATTTGAAAATTGGTCCATGATATTTTCAATTTCTTATAGATGCCACTACTAAAAAAAATCGGGAAATTTTTAACAACACTATGACGAATGAATTATTTATTTTTTAAAAATTTTATAATAAGGGACACTATTTTCTCAACTTTATATTAAAGGACATTTTTGTCATATAACATCACTTTGCAACAAATTGGATAGTTAGGAGGGTTTTACCTCAATTTTTTCTTCAAGAGGATTTCTTGCTAAAAATTGAAAAGTAGAGGGAGTTTCTATGCAATTTACCCGTTCATAAAAAGGTGCAAATGATCAACTCTCCGATCAGTTAGTAGAATCAATTGGTCTTCAAATTGTTTATTTGAAAATATGATCATGATACTTCCCAAAAATCGATGGTCAATAAGATACCAAAGTAGATGATTGACCCATTCCATACAAGAAATACAATCCATGTCACATATTAGTGTCCATTTTACATGTTTTCAAATAAATACATATACACATTTTCAAGATTATGAACCAAAAAGCATTTCATTCGTGGTTTTGATCCATATATATCAATCCATACAGAATATTAACAGGTAAAAACCAAATCAACATCTAATCATATTTTAAACATGAAACTTCCTCGCCCCATGTATGCATCACTTCACTAGAAAAAAATTTACCCTTGTGGGCGAGGTACGATTGTGCAGGTGGCACTAGTAGGCTACCACACTGAGCAAGTTACAAGTGCACAATCTCATATCGCTTGGATGTGGATGGGACAAGTACTATATGTAAATTCAACACCCTTCTATGACAAAGCATATTTTAAAGTCGTGATGGTCGTGATCCCACCAGAACTCCGGAGTTAAGCATTCTTAACCTAAAGTAGTACCAGGCTAGGTGACCCTCCGGATGAGTCAAAAGTGAACAATATTGTGTTTGAGTAGGGTGAGAATTGTTACAAATGGTATTAGAGCTTAACCCATCCGTATGTGTGGCCAACGAGGACATTGGGTCCCCTTTGGTGATTATGGCGACCTTGTAGGTGGGTGGGTGTGTGCATATTCAGGTGGCACCAGTACGCTACCACACTGTGCGAGCTACAGGTGCCTAATCCCACATTGCCTGGATTTGGATGTATTGCCCCGAATAAGAACTATTAGTCATTCCTATTTTAAATTGCATACCGAATAAAGGAATAATTGGAATAAGAACTATTGGTTATTCCAATTTTAAATTACATACCAAATAAAGGAATAATTGGAATGGGCATTCCATTCACACCAATCGCAGCATTAGTTCATATTGTCCATGTTACCCATTGCACAATTTTTTATTTTATTTTATTTTATTTGTTATGGGCAAATTGCATAGAAATCTAGTTTATTTTTTATGGGTTTCGACATCAAAGGCGGTGGTATTGGAAGGTAGTGGTGGTGGTGGTGGAAGGCAGTGGAGGTGGCGATGGTGGTGGCGGTGGTGGTGGCGGTGGAATGTGGAAGGCGATGGTGGAAGTGGAAGGCAATGGTGAAAGTTGGTGGCGGTAATGGAAGTCAATGGCGATGGCAGTGGCGATAGTGATGGAGGTGGTGGTGGAAGGTTGTGGAGGCGGCGACGATGTGGTGGTGGTTGAAGGCAGTGACAGTTGTGGCAAGGGTGGAAGGTGGCAATGATATAGGTGGTGGTGGTGGTGGTGGAAGGTGGTGGTGATGATGGAGGGGGTAATGGTGATATGGGTGGTGGCAACGACGGTTGTGGTGGTTGAAGGTGTAGCGGTGGAAGGCAGTGGAGGTAGCGATAGTGTGGCGGTTGAAGGCGGCAACAATGGTGGCGGTGATAGTGATGGTGATGGAATGCAATGAATGTGGCGGTGATGGAATGCGGAGGTGGTTGTGTTGGTGGCGATGGCGGCGGCAGCGGCGGTGGTGGTTTTTGGAATTGAAACATAAGGGTTTTTTGAAAAGTGATTTTTTTAAAAAAAAAATTACTCAGGAATGGAATCTATAGATTTAGTTGTGAAATAAATTTTCATTCTAAAGGAATGATCATTCCTATTTTAAATTGCATATCAAATAAAAGAATAATTGGAACGGGCATTCCATTCACACCAAAACACAGCATATTGTCCATGTTACCCATGGAACTATTTTTTATATTATTTTATTTTTTATGGGCAAATTGCATAAAACTCTATTTTTTATTTTTGGCTAAAAACCCCGTGATTTTGTTTGCTGCAGTGTGGCATCAACCACCTAGAGTTATCAGTTTGAATCAAAACTGAATGACTAGATTACAAAAATCATTGTCAACGTACATGTGAATATGTCACCAATTTGAAATTATATTAAAATCAAATGTGAAAAACACAGATAACAACAACATTTAATCATCTTCTTGGAATGAAGACAAGCAGATTCAAATAAACTTTTGAACCATGCTGTGAGGCTCAAATCATCCAAACATTGCTCATCCAACGGCAACGCCCAATATTGACAAAAGGTCTTCTAGACTCTCCTCCCAATCGGCTTAGTAAGTTTGGGAGTAGAAGTACAACTTGTCCCAGAGAAACCACCTGGCTTCCTCATAGAAGAGATACTGTAACAAGAAGCAAGATTCAATGACTGACAAAAATGCATATACAAATAACTCTCCAGATATACGGACAAATATGGAGAATAAACAACTTTACCAGTGATTCCTTTGCAAGGAGTTGTTCTTCATAGCTGCTAAATTCTTCACCTCTCGACTGTTTAAAAAGAAAAAAAGAGAATAAAATTGGTTAACTACCAAGTAGTAGTTTCTTCTACATTTGGCATTCAGGTGAGCACAAGGACCCAACAATAAACAAGTCCCAGATCTTTCTGATAGAATGATTATAAGGTTGATATATTTGGGAGCTAAGAAGCAGACACTTCTGATCGTACAGGTTACGGGCAACCACACTTCTCAAACACTCCCAGACGTGTAAGACACATCTTGGACGTGTTGAACAATTAAACAATATTTTTTTTAATCTCAAATATATGGCTGACACTTCTTAGGCCCTCACTAATATTTTACCAAATAAACCTAGGACATTAGCTATAATGTTTTATATGGAAGTATAATTGTAAGAAGGAATAAATTAAATGTCCTCCTGAATTTTAAATCGTAAGTGTTTAGTCTAGAAAAAAGACATCTCAACATTAAACTTCGTCTTTGTAGAACTTTTTACCTATTGAGAAATTCCAGTTTTGCCTTCTTCATCATGTTGCTCTTCGTATTGGAGATATTGCTACCAGGTCCACCTACAAACATTTTTTAAATGTAAAACAATTAAAGACCAAATACAAAATGCATCCACTTCAGTGTCTTAGCCCATGCAAGGTGCTGTTAATTGTCTAAATTCATATAAATGGATCACCGGACTCCAATGAACTAAGGGACTCAAAAGGAAACAAAAAGTATACCTCCATAGAAGCTTCTTTTACTGCTTGAAGGTGGAACCTTTGTGCAAATCTGAACTTGACGACTTTGCTTCCCTGCAAGAATTAAGCAATTGGTAAGAATTTCAATATAAACAAGGCACCAAAACTTTGAATCTATTTGAAGAAACAACATCTGAGACCATGAAGTGATAGTAGAATATGATCCGGAGAGCATTTTGTTAATTAAATGGGAGACTGATAATTTTATCAAAGTAATATGACTGGACAAAAATTCATATTAATACAAGGCACACCAACAAATTTAAAAATTTTCCTAAAGTGTGTCAAACACATGTTTTATGGAGATGGCCAAGATGTGTCAAACACGTGTCCTAAAGTGCCTCACGGACACATGTCTAACAATGATACAGCTCCTTAATAAAAGTGTCCATGCTTCTTGTAAGTCTGTTACCTCTCATAGATTCTTCTTTACTTCTATTTCCAGTTATATATTTATTTTTTAATCCACAAGTAGTTTTCTTTCCCTTTATTTTGTCAAATAAGCCCTTCATTCATAACAGTGAAACTTCTTCTCGACCTTTAAGCCTTAATCTAAATGCTTCAAACACTAAATCAGTATCAGCTCAGAAATTACAGCAGGTCATTATTTGGAAATTAAACAAATTATATAGAACTGAAAGCTTTGCACAGGTAGGTGGTCTTCTATTATACAATTGTGTGTATCATACAATGCAATACAAGAATAAAATAGGGTTAAATTTACAAAACCTCCTTGTAATATCACTATTAAATTGATCAAATTACGCCCTTCCCGTTATTTCTCAGTTAAAGTAAATGGTAATCTGACGTGTGCATTTAAGGTTTCTAAGGAAATAACTAAGTTAGATTATAAAGATCTTACGAGCATCTTCCTTCTTATATAGTTCCTTGATTCGATCAAATGACTTTTGTTGAGCCGCCTCCAAGTCTTTTGTCTTTGCCTGGAAGTAAATCACCCAATTGTTAAAAAGCAGTTCATTTACAATCAAACTCACATCTAAAAATTCTTAGTGAATTGAAAATGCAATTACCTAAATACAATCAAGAAATAGAAAAGATTAGAACTGTGGATAACTTCAGATAAAGGGAAATAACAAAAAAATGATTACCTCATACAATTGTTTCCATTTAAATGACACTTTCCTCTGTTTCATCCTCTCAACTACAAGATCGGTACTCTTAGCACCGAATTGTTTCTCATAAAACTTCTTCCACAGTTTATTAGTTACTGGGCTAAGATCTCTTCCCTGCATTTCAAATAAAAATGTAATTAAAAATTCTGAGAACATTTCAACCATGTTATACCAATTTAATGATTAATGAAGAAGATAGTTTGTCTTACTTCTGTCGAATTCTCGACATGCATCAACTGATCAAATGTACAGTGTGGTAAAATGCGCCCAAGGAGATGTATATCTGTTTCCCCAACATCCCCAAGATACCTAACATTATCTACTGCTGTTTGAACACAAAGATCAAGCAAACATGGAACTTTCCTCTGTTCCGTCATATTTTCTTTTGAGCACGTGGAATACCCCGATCTCACCTCGTCCAGTATCCTATTGCAACTAGTGATTAGGAAATACAATCAAATTTCACAGTAATCTTTGTAGAACTAGAAATATTTATAAAGAAAGAGGGGAAAAAATCCCATGTAGTGTGTTCATGTGTCTGTTTCATGTATGTCTCTAAATGTCTTTACAATGTTTATTTCTTTTCTTTCTGTGAGTTCCTTCTTCTTTATATCCGTAATTCATTAAAACCCTGTTTGGTTGCTGAGAAAGCAAAGGAAACTAGAAGAAACCAATTTGAAGTCTTACATGTTGGCACTGTTACATACTTTGAAGTATGAAAATACTCAACAACATTAAGCCAACTGATCCCTTTCCTAAATTCCTAATTGCCCTTCAACACCAATCTGGGTTTCGAACTAAATGGCATGTGATTGGTTTTTCTTTCTTGAAATATTCTAACAAACCAACAAAAATAATTCTTGATTGAAAAAAAAAATTTTCAATCCACGGATTGCAAATTTTTCCACTTTAGTCATTGAATTAATACAGATTGGTCTAATTCTCCACAAACTACCTCTGATTACACATCATTAAAAAATATATAAAATAAAATAAAAACAATTTAGTCTAAAAAGGTATCAGATACATCGTAGATCGAATACAAGAGAAGCCAATTTGATCATGATGCGCGCACATACACATACGGATATTTGTGTGTATATATATATGTATGTATGTATGTGTGTGTCCGTGTGCGCGCGCGCGCGTGAGGTTCTAGAGCTTACCAACTCGTGATCGGAAATAGAAATCGGAGAGGCCGGCCGGAGATGAGAACGTCAACGGACTTCGGTAATATATAATCAAAGAATTGCTAACGTGCGCCGGATGGATCGACGATGCGATATAACGACAATGGTACTTTCTGCTTACGCTGCTTTTGTGATTATTGTTGTAGGAGTCATCATATCTTACAAAATTGATTATTGTGAGGGCAAATAAATAAAAATAAAAATAATAATAGAAAAAGTAAAAAACAAAAAAACAAAAAAGGAAAGGGGTTAAACAATGTCTACATGCTTGTTAAAACTTGGTAGTGTGTTCATGTGTCTTATTGTCACCGGGTAAATACAGAATATGCCCTGTCATGATGGCACTAAGCCAGAAATATGAACGATTTTTTTCTGAATTTCTAATTTAGCTCAGCCAACTCACACTTGTCGCCTAAAATACATAGCAAGTAAAACACTTTCACATACAAGTATAGTTGCAATAATGTAAAGACAATAACACCTACGAATTTACAGAAGCACAAGATTTCTAACCTTTTACTATTATTTACAAAACAGTATAAGGAAAGGCCTCAGCCTGCAAAAACATACAAGAGTCTCTCACAACATAACTCTGTGTCTCACTCTCAATCTCTCTCTCTACAGAGCCCACATTAGCAATATATAGGCAAACTCTGAAAACCGTTACTAAAGTGGTGGATGACACCCCTATCTACCCACAACTACCCACTAAAGTGGTGGATGACACCCCCATCCACCTAGGGTCATGTTCGCACCCACTAAGTGTGCCAACACTACATATATTGTGACGACCTTGGTTTTTCAAGCCAGTGCGTCTTGTGATGAACCGAAGATTGACCCGATAACGGATCCGAATGCGGAAGCAAAAATAGAAAACAAGACTCTAAGAAGTCAAAGTGACCTTCCATGAGGTCTTAGAACTCAATGAGAACTGATGCAGAAACGAATGATAAAAAAAAAAAAAAAAAAAAAAAAAAAGACCGAACAGACCCCCAAGGGCAAAATGGTCATTTCTAAAAATATAAAATCGGGTGCTACCGAGCACACCACTAGAAAGACAGCAAAAAATTAATTAAGTTAGACCCAATAATCACTTGATTCGGAGTCCGGATGAAGAAAATATGAAACTCCAAAGTTTCATAAAAATCACATTTTTGAGTTTGAAATCAATGCAGCAAGGGTACTTCGCAAGGGGTAAAATGGTCTTTTCAGACATAACTGGATGCAACTGAGCATATCATTAGATATAAGAAGAAGATATGAAACGTCAAAGTTTCATAAAAACCAACTTTTGGGTTTAAAATCAGTGCAGCAAGGGTACTTTACAAGGGGTAAAATGGTCTTTTCAGATATAATTTGATGCAACCGTGCATACCGTTATATAGACCAGCAAAAACTAATAAACTTAGACTCAAAAATCACTTAATTTGGAGTCCGGATGATAAAGATATAAAGCCTCAAAGTTTCAAAAAATTAAACTTTCTGGGTTTCCAATATGAGCAGGGCCTGCACACATTTTCCGAATTCAAATGGGATTTTGAGGGCTTAAATGATATTTTTTGGCAAAAAGTTGTGAAGAAACCCCCCCTCCCCCCCAAAATCATGTTTTCTACATAACTATGTCAAGAGAAGATTTTATTTTACAAGTGAAATACCCAAAATGACCCTTAGATCAGCACTTTTTTCGGAAAAACCTAGAACGACCAGATTTTCCAGATCTGCGAGTTGTTTTCGGTATCAAGATGATTTTTTTTGTAAAAACACGAAGAAGAAACCCCCACTAAAATCACGTTTTCTACCCGGAGCATGGACAAAAATGAAAAAGAAACACTATGAAGTACCCAGAATGCCCCTAGATCAGGAAAGGGCAAGAAGTTGAAAAAAAACTGCTATAGCATAGCAGAAAAACCGAACTTTGCACGGGATTTTCGGTACCAATACGACATTTTCTGAAAAAACACGAAGAAGAAACCCCCCCTAAAATCACGTTTTTTAAGTGATCATGTCAAGAACGGAATTTATTTCCCGAAGGAAAACCCCAAAGTGCCCTAAAATCAGATTATGTAACAAAACTTCAAAATGAGTTCATAGGAAGCTCAAAACACAAACGATAAGGTTTTGCCCGGAAATGACCATGCACGCAAATGTAACTTACCTATTTAGATGTGTTACAATGGTCCACAACTTAAAAATACCACCGATACAAAATCCGACCCCCCAACGGGCAAAAAGGCAAAAATGGAACTTGGAATGAAAACTCGGAATCCAAAAATACAAAACGGGGTCAAATGACCGTTTGGCCCTTGGCCACACTTCAAACATAATTTATAAGACCCAATGAAAGAATGAAAACGGAATTCCCACACCAGATGCAACCATGATGAGACAATGACTTGGCATTTTTCAATATTTTCCTAATATTTCAAGAAGTTAGAAGTTACAAAAAATTCAATATACATGTCAATGGCTTTCGGCCTCATCTCATACATGTTGAATATATTGAAAGGAGTGCACTTAAGTACACATTACATGCATGGAATCAAATTTACACATTTTGACATATAAAGCTATAAATGGCATTTCAAGCCAACATTTACATGAAATGAGAACTTCAAGTCTACAAATCATCCAAGCATGATGTGAATCCCGAATCTTGATCCCGGTACCTGAAAAATGTCCCCACTACGTGGGTGAGTAACATAAAGCTACTCGTAGGAGATGAGCATGCATCGACCTAGCGTTTTACAATTATATCACCTTAAAGTGAAACATGTTAAAGGGGCTCATGCCACCTAACGTCTATGTCAAGTGAGACTCAGGAATCATATGAACAACGGCATACAAGTATACATGCTACTTTAAAGTGAACAACGGCATACAAGTATGCATGCTCAAGTATACTAAACAATGTTAAACATGTTATACAACATGCAAGCATACATTTTCAAGTATACTAAACCACATTAAGACAAGTCATGCAATGTCTAAGCATATTTACACAAGTATGCATTTTATATGAAAATCTCGTAAATCAAGTATATGAACATAAGTATACTAAGCTAAAAGAGATACGCCTAAAGCAAGTATACACGGCACAAGCATACTAAATGAAATTTAAATTCACAGAGCAAGCATACAAGTTCAAGTATACTATATGAGATCTAAATGCACAAAACAAGTATACAGTTTCAAGTATACTAAGTAAGATTCAAATATCCAAAGCAAGCATTAATTCTCAAGTTACAAGTAATCCATGATTAACAACTTCAAATTGAATGCGAAATCAAAGTAGAAAGACTAGGACATGTGGTCACTAGACCAAGCAAGTGTTTTCAGGTAATTACGACCCACAAGGCATTACCTAGTGCGCACATGCATAAGTTATTTCGGGCAATTACGACCCACAAGGTACTACCTAATGCGCACTTATGACTTAGAAGACTCTTGTCTCCGTACTAGAGCCAAACCCTAGCCATCACGTGAAATATGTCCTTACAAGCTTTCCAAAATCAATAAGTCCAAAACTTATACAAAAATCAATAAGTTAGACTAAACTTATACCAAATCCACTAATGCATAAAACCATCTCCCATGCACAAATAAGGTTGAATCCACACAAACCATGTCCTAGAATTCAAGTCTAGATAGCATATGACATGTCAAGCCTCCAATATACAATTTATACACCAAAACAAGAATATTTTATAACAATTGAACCACATTACCACGCTAAGCCACAAGTACTAAATAAGTCCCAATTTAGTAACTAGCTTCTAAGGTAAACAATTGTAATATTCTAACAAGCTATACACCCACACAAGATATATCTAAACAAGCTATGCAAGTCAATGATATTCTATATCATGCTAAGTCCAATTACCATTTCAAGATGCCTCAAGTACTAATTCTACATCAAATTTGTAATATGCTCACAAGGTGATTAAACGGACTACGTTTCAAGGAATTAATAACCTATTACCTCCGATATCAATTTAAGTGACCAACACACTTAAAATAAAATTAATTAAGCTCATTAATTAATTTTTTTTTAGATTTTAAGACATATCCAAATGTCCTCAATTTAATATATGTTAAAGAACTCACCAAAGCCTACTTTAATATCACATTACAAGTTGATTCCATGCTTGATACAACTAGGTGAATTAAACTTTCACAAAAGATAAATATTAAATAAAATTTGCAATTCTTATTCAAATAACCCCAATTTAATACATATCAACCACCATACCAAGGCCTAAATTTCTAGCATGCCACAATTTAATTCTAAGTTGCCTAGCATCATGAGAATTAAATCTTAAACAAAGAAAATAATTAAATTAAATTCTATAACTTGAACAAGGCATGCTCACAAGTTGTATATGCTCACATAACAATCAATACAACATTAATATAACCCTAAAACATCCCCTACCTCAATTTGAGATGAAAATCCCAAATCCCCACTGAATTGAAACGGCTCCGAATCTGACGAAACTCCTAGGTTTTGTCGAGGACAACACGATCTATATGAATCCCCAAGAAGCCCCATGAAAATCCAAACTTGACCTCAATCCCGAACTCGAAATTTGGTCAGAAATGGTTTCTAATAAGGGGTAATGGTGCGTGTAGTCAACACGAACACAAAACGTAAAAGCACTTCAACTTTTTAACAAAGGAATGAAGTTCAAAAGAGAAGAGAGGTGGTGGCAACCTCCCTTGGGCTGCCATGGGAGCTCTGGTCGTGCAAGGTGAGTGGGGAAGATGAAAAATGAAATATTTCACCCCCCTTTTAAAGAAATCTCAAAAAGTGCCCCGAACGGGCCCCGCTGGGTCAGGAAAAGTTGAATTTGAGCAAACGCGCTCAAATGGTAAAACTTCATGAACAAAAAAGATTCAAAATGAGAAAATATGAACAACGGAAGAAATGGTGTCAAAAACTGAGTTCCGAGCAGAGAGATATGCCCCAAACAAGTTCGCTAGCAACTAGGGCCAGAAACCCTAAAACTAAAGAAAAACGACCAGAAGGAGATTCCAAGAATTCACGAGTCGATGAAAAGTGAAAATGAATCCCGTACGAGGATCCAGGCTCCAGAAGAAGTATTTTACAATAACTTTCATTAATTACAAAATGGCCCCTCCGAAAAGGGTTAGTTGCACTAATGC